TTTCTGTCTCAATAACCAAACATGAGCAATTTTTAAATCTTCATCTTGGTCGGGCTGAGAACCTTTCAGTACCCCAACCCTTACATTATTGTTATATAATCTCGGAAACATATTTTCTAATGCAATCAATACTCATGTTAACGAGTTCGCATTTTGCTTGCAAACCAAAATCAAAATGCTTGATATTGATTTTCAAGAATGTGTTATGAATCATTGTCTTTAATTGATGGGTTATTCCTATGAGATTTTTTTTCCAGTAAGGTCCACCCTTTATAAGACGAGGGGGTGCTATTCGTGGTAGAAGGTTTCGTTAGGAGGTCATTTGTGTGTATAGGAGTGGAAGATAACGGTTAACCCTAGCCCTGAACAGGTTATGATTGTAATGTCGGGGAAATATCCTGTTGGGAGTCGGTTCCACAGGGCAGTGGTTCGCGGAAAGAAACTGTTCGAGTGAAATTTATTACTCACCAATGGAATACGGAGGGAATGTGGCTGACTTGCTACTATGTAAGTGGCATGTCGTGTCCTTGCCGTTAGGGTTTGATTTGGCGGTACCAGGGAATGTAGTTCGTCCGAGCACTTTCTGTGAACATAACAATAGATCAACGAAAGGCTTGCCACATTTCGTCTGTGGGAGAAAGGTTGGAGGGTGGAGAATAATTCGTCACCCACAAGGACACGGGGACCTTTTTGGACTCTATCAAGGCGGGAGAGTGAGGCCTGGGGAGCCGCTGCCCAAATATAACAACAGTACTCCATCTATTGCCTGATCTGACTCTTGTAAAGTTAGACGATAGCATGAGGAGTCGGGTACTTACTGGAGTGGTACAAGGGGCAGATCATTTTACCTGCATCTTTAGCGATCGAAGTCGGATGCGATTTGGAGGCCCAATAATTTTTCAAAGCACAGTGCCTCCTCGAGAGGACATCCGTTCATCCTGATTGGTGGTAGTTCGAGTTATTCTTATCTTTGTTGTACTTGGCACATTCTTTGGCTTTTCTCGTTATTTTAAATTTTAAGATATTCCTTGTTGTAATCCTGCATGGAACACGGATTAATATTCTCAAATTTGTTGTTTTCTCTTTACTTTTATTTATCAGGTCATCCCATAAGTTCTGTCCGGATTTTAACTTTTTGTTAAAATGAACGAAATTTAAAGAGTATTTTATAATGTCTAATGGAGCTGAACATTATTCTTATGTTTAGATGCATTTAAACTGATCAAATTTTATTTCAGAAAACAATAAAATTAAATTTGTTTGATTAAAACCTTGCTAACATGGAAGTACCCAAGAATCATTTGAGGCACATAATGCTTTATGAGTTCAAGAAAAGAAACTCAGCAGCCGAAGCAGATAGAAACATTCACTCAGTTTATGGAGAGGAATGTGTGAATGAAAGAACTTGCAGAAGATGGTTTGCAAAATTCAGAGGTGGAGATTTCACCCTTGAAGATGAAAGATCGAACCGGACGTCCAGTTCAGTTTGATGAAAAGCTTCTTGAAGCAGCCCTTGAAGAAAATCCTGCTTTATCAGTTGAGGAATTGGCAGTGGTTCTCAGTTCAAACCATACAACTGTTCATCGTCATCTTCAACAACTTGGAAAAGTTCCTAAACTTGGAAAATGGGCGCCTCATGAATTGTCTGAAAACAACCTCAAATCCTGAGTTGACATCTGCTCTTCTCTTCATTCTCGCCAACTTGTTTCACCTTTTTTTGGATAGACTTGTGACTGGCGACGAAAAATGGATCTTTTATCGAAATGTTAAGCGTCGTAGACTGTGGCTCGGTAAAGGGGAAGGACCTCAGCCGCAGCCGAGAAGGGAACTTCATGGGCAAAAGGTTCTTCTTTCAATCTGGTGGGCTCGCCAAGGAATAATCCACTTTGAATTCTTACCACCTAATGCAACAATTAATGCTCAAATATACTGTCAGCAATTAGAGCGTTTGAACCAAGCTTTGAGGAAAAAAGACCTGCTCTAGTGAATCGAAAAGAGGTGATGTTTCCAGGACAATGCGCGACCCCACACAGCAAAAATCACGTCACAAAATATCGAAGAACTTGGTTGGGAGAAAATTCCTCATCCACCTTATTCTCTCGATCTTGTTCCTTCAGACTACCATTTGTTTCATAGCTTACAGAATCATTTGGAAGAAACAGCTTTTGTAACACAGTAAGAGGTTAAAAATGACATTTGTGAGTTCTTCGAATCAAAGCCAAAAGAATTTTACAGTAATGGAATTAGTAAGCTTGTTAATAGATGGAAGGAAGTTATAGATAATCAGGGAAAATACATTGTTAATTGAATCTGTAATTAAATGTAACATTTGGCCACTTGTTTTCTTTATTCAAAATTCGGACAGAACTTATGGGATGACCTGATAAAATGTCTCAGCTATTTTTTGGCTTACAGACACATCACATTGAAACACTGGTTCCTATACATTTACCGAAGTTAAGCAACGTCGAGTCTGGTCAGTACCTAGATGGGTGACAGCTTGTGAATATCAGGGGCTGTAAACTTGGATGTGCGGATGGTGTAATAGATAATAACTCGGAATTGTTAATCGGAGAGCCGAGTTCCAATTCCTGTTGGATTCGTTATATTCACTTACGCGCTCAAATACTCTTGGAAAAGGTATGAATCAATCCCTTCTCCCCCACAACTGTGGGTTAATTAATAAGACTTGTACCACTAAATCATTGCTATTTCCAAAAATTTGTTGCAATCTAAAAATATTTTCTGGTTTTAAATAATCTGCAAAGAGTTGATAAGCCGTAAAAAAATGCATCAATCAATTAGCTATTAAAACTTATTTAAATCTTTCAAGTCTTCAGAAATCACAGTGCCTCCTCGAGAGGACATCCGTTCATCCTGATTGGTGGTAGTTTCAGTTATCCTTATCTTTGTTGTGCTCGCTCTATGGTATTCTCATAACAGATTTTCAGGTAGATTAATTTTGAAAAAAGATTAGCGGTTACGATGGAGAATAATAATTCTGAGATATTCATTATTATTTTGATTTGAAATATCTCGTGTATACTATTTGATCTACGTGTGTAATATTCATCATTGTACATTGACAATTTTGGTCCATGGTATTCTCAGCATCCTTCTGTAGAATCACATTGCTGTTGTTTCAAGTTTCTTCTTCATCTGTGAGGAGATTGTCCAACATTCACTGTCATACAAAGGAAAATGGATATTACATGACAGGTCGTCACTCTTTACTTTTTTGTTTTTTTTGTTTTTTGTTTGTTTCTAACGAAATGATTTTTCTGTTTCTTAGAACTTCACTTTGGCAACTTTTGCTATTCCAATGCGACTTCGGATTTCGGTGTCACATTTTGTCATCTTTTAAAAGCTTTCCAGTTATTTATAATTCTGTACTAAATAAGTATCTGAAATTTTCCTTCTTTTGTCGGAGGCACAAATACATTGATAATCTATGGTTATCATACCTCCTTCTATGTGCCATGTCCCTTCATGGGCGATCAGGACACTCCAAAACTCCCTATCCTGTGTGGCGCTTAACAGTTTTTCTCCCTTTGCTAAGATAACCTCTCCCCGTTCCGCCAGCCATTCATACAAACCCGTCAGGTAGATATCTATCTTGCTCTCAATATCTCATGTGAGGGTTATATTTGCCAAGCCTTGCTTCCTCATTATATGTCCAAAGAACCTCAGCTGTCTTTTCTGAATCTAATTATAAAGTTCTTTCTGTTTTCATTGTCTTTAAGACTTCCGCATTGCTTACTCGCTCCGTCCATGGAATTCTCAGTATCCTTCTGTAGAACTACATTTCTGTTGTCTCCAGTTTTCTCTTCATCTGTTGGGAAATTGCCTTGCATTCACTACCATATCTGAATGATGAATATGAAATAGCAATCCAGCACCCATATCTTTGTTTCTTACGAGTTTTTTCCTGTTTCTTAAAACGTTCCTTAGTTTTTGAAATACCTCTTTCGCTATCCGACGCGCGTTCGGATTTCGATGTCGTATTTTCCCTCCGCTGTTAAAACAACCCCAGATATGTTGATATCTCTAATTTGAAACTTGGTTTTTTTTTAGTACATATCCTGTAGTTTTTTTTCCGTGCTATCAACATAGTGTCATCTGCATATCTTATATTATTATGGTTATGCTCACCGATAATAAATGATGATGGGGTTTCCAGTTCCTTTACGATAGTCTTGTTGAAGAGGTTGAATGAAACTGGAGAGAAGACACATCCTTGTCTCGCATTCGTTTCTAATTTTGTATACCTAATCAATTCATTTTCTATTCATAAGTAGCTGGTTTGCTCCCAGTATAAATTTGGGATTATTTTAACATCTTTTCCAACTAGATCACGTTTTTCTAGCAGTTCAAATAGATCCTTGTGCCGTACGTGGTCAAATGCTTTTGCCTAATCTATAAAACTATAAAACATCTCTATCTCTCTGTCTATCTATCCATCTATCTATCTCTTTCTCTCTCTCTCTCTCTATATATATATATATATCATTCTAATCATAAATATTGCATTTCTTGTTCTAGTGTCCTTGACAAAGCCGCACTGTTCTTGTCCTATTTCTGGTATAATTCTGCTCCATGCTCAATTCATTAGGATTCGGATCATTAGCTTCGTTATGTAGCTCACTAATTTGACTGCCCGATAAAGCTCGCCTTCATTTGCATTGGTTTCTTATGTAATGCTACGAATATTTATCTGCTGAGGACCTGTTGGCTAAAAAAGGTAAAAGGTTTTTTGATTTTATTGAAGATGGTATTTTCTTAATAATGTTCTCGCTTTACTTCTAACCATTTAAAACACAGAATTCTTTTAGTCTGTAAAATTACATGCGGTAATATAGTCATTTTTATGAATAAAAACCCTCGATTATATATGCAGAAAATATAATAGAAATTGATAAATAAAACATTCTTAAACAGGTTTTGACGATAATGTGGTCGCAATCATCAACGCCACTGTCGTCTGCTTCCCTTTCAATCAGTTAAAGAAAGAAAGAAAGAAAGAAAGAAAGAAAGAAAGAAAGAAAGAAAGATGAAGAGGAGATTGTAATATAGAAAGGAAAAAAAGAAAGAAAAGAAAAGAAAGAAAGAAAGAAAGAAAAAGAAAGAAAGAAGAAGAAAGAAAGAAAGATTGTAATATAGAAAGGAAAAAAAAGAAAGAAAGAAAGAAAGAAAGAAAGAAAGAAAGATGAAGAGGAGATTGTAATATAGAAAGGAAAAAAAAAGAAAGAAAGAAAGAAAGAAAGAAAGAAAGATGAAGAGGAGATTGTAATATAGAAAGGAAAAAGAAAGAAATCAAAAGAACTAATGATAGGACAAGAGAGAGGGGAGAAGAGAGGAAGAAAGATTAAACAGTGTAGTTTCATGTATATGTTTGAAATTCTGTAAGAATAAGATGATCTACATAATAGATAAATTACTAATATTTATTCTATAATTCTATAATAAAAAAGCGATATTTATCAGTAACTCAGTCATCATCTTCATAATGTGCTGTGTCCCTTCAGAAAGTAGTTTGTCTTTTCACACACACACACCACCCCCATCATGTTCCTTCAGTTGCATTTTTTTACGACTGACGATCCCAGTAGCGTGATACTTCAGTAGCGGTCTGAATTTTTTTTTTTTTTTCAGACGTGTCGCTGGATAGAGTAATTCCTCTGTCTTGATCATTCAGGCATAGAGCACTCTCTATTACCGTTTAGAAAAGTGTCTGTCTTATGATTTTTTTCTTCTCACTTTATGTTTACGTTTCCATTTTAAATCGTTTTTTTTTTCTCTCTCGCTTTTTCATTTATTGATTTTTAAATGTCTCGTTAATGTATACATGTCATATGTATTTTCCCGCTGAAAAATATTTCCTCGCATGTATGTATATGCGTGTAGTGGGGTTTGTGTAAAATTATGATAGGTAAAAATTATTATTATTTATATTTATTTTTAAATTTCCGCCACACTTCCAATGTTTAAATTTCAACATTTCAATATACAAATGCGTATGTATAGATATAACACCACCCGTATACATACATGTGTCATAACCGAAACTGCCCACATATGTTTATATATGTATGAGTCCCGACGGACGACCAAGTATGTATATGTGTCTGCATACATCGATGTTTGCGTTAGTACGATGAATGACAAAACGACGAAATTTCCCCCACCACTTCCACAATAACACCAATACACGCAATCAATTTTTTAAAACATTAATCAGTTTGTCTGACGATCGCTAAAGCGTGAAACCCAGGGTCACAAACTCACATATCCTATATATAAATAATATATATATATATATATATATATATATGAAGAATTAATTTTATTTGTTAATCCGACATATTTTTATTACTTCAAACGTTATTTCTAGTGGATACCCGTATTTTGGGTAGACATTCCCTTTATTTTAAACAGAATTTATTTCGTCTACGGGCCTGTGTAAACTTAAAAATGAAAATGTGTCCTCCGGCATCATTCGAGCCTATATCCCACTTTAAAAGGCCAAATAGAAGCTTGCCGGGCGCTCAAAACACTCCGGATCATGCGGTCGACGCAAGTTCGAATCCTGCAAGTAATAAAAAAAAAAGGTATATAAACGAAAGGAGTTATTTTACTTTTTAATTTGCAATTTTTTCATTTCCATTTATTCTTTTATAAATAATAAACAGTATAAAATCTCCGGTTGTATAGAATTTTCATGACTTATTATTATTCAAAATTCTGACAGAAAAATAGATTTGTTTAAATATATGCATGAGGTGACATCTGGTGACAGTTTTTAAGTGACACGATGGCCGGCATAGTCTTTACCCTAAAACAGATTTAAGATAAATGCAGTGAACATGATCATCCTAATCGAAAACGGTTTCATGTAACGCTGTGTACTAACCCTCAGCACTATTTTCAATGTGTTAAAACAGGCTTCAGAGTCGATGGAGAACAAGCACCGAGTGTACGACAAGCCAGAACGGCAACCTGAAGTGTCTCGAGGTTCATACTAAGACTGCAGTGCAGCTGGTCAGAGAGCTCCTATTCTCCCACAAAAACGACTTTTCCAGCAGATAACTTTACCTCCCAAGGCAGCGTCAAAACTTCTGGTGCCAAAGTGGACAGATAAATGAGTGACAGACCGGACAATGCTAATCAAGCTTTTAGTGAACTGCATAAATATGTCTGTGGCAGCAGAGACCTCAAGAAAGACACAAAAACCAATTTTTACAAAGCCATCGTGCTGCCCACTCTTCGATATGGTGCTTTGCTTTGTATACTTGAAGCCCCTGTAACTTCCAATAGGGTTAGGGTTCTATACAACCATAAAAGCGCAATGGAGCGACGTCATAATTAACACTGAAGTCCTTGACTCAGTGTTCCAAGGTCGGATCTTTCGCCGATTTCTAAGCCGTATATTGCAATCAATGCTCTCTTCGTATAGGCTTTACTAGCCATCTGAGAGCCTATAGCATACAGACAACTCCATATGAGTAATAGTTAAATATTACAATTGTTTTTTGGGGTTTTTTTTCAATTTGGGATTAAGTACCAGAGCAACTTTACTCAAAATATCGTTCTTCCTTTTTCGATCATACTCGTTCTTTCTTCTTAGCTTTCTTTCATTTGTTGTCAAGCATTTAAATTTTTTCTGTTTTTCTTCCTCGCTCATTTTTCATTCTTTTTTATTTCATTTTTTTTTTCCTTGTCTTTATTTTTCTTCCTTTAGATTTCCACACCTCTTCCCCAAACATTTATTTTTATTTCTTTCAAAATTATTTTCGTTTTTTTCTTAATTTTTTATTTATTTTTCTTCCTTTCTTTCTCAGTCATTTTTCATTCTTTCTTTCTTTCTTATTTTCCTTCCTTTCTCATCTGTTTATTTTCTTTTTTTATTTCTAGATTATTTTTCTTTCATTTTTCTCATTTCTTTTTCTTTTTTCTTTCTTTCTTTACTCATTAATCATTAATTTTCCTTTGATTTTTCCTTTCTTTGTTTTCAACTCACCAGCACGACTGATGCAGCCATCTTTAGCTTAAAAACAAGCCATCTTTAGCAACTTCTTTTTCTATATGCCGTGTCCTTTCAGAACGTGGACAATCATGGCTCCCCACAACCTCGTATTCTCTTGGGCTTTAGTAATGTTTCTCCCTCTGCGAAGTAATCCTAGGTATGACAATAAACTACATCTAGCAGCAACATCTCTGATCAGGAGATTGGCGGTTTTTCAGGAGTGTTGCTACTGTTCCCAGATTCACCCTGGCAGCACTTGTTAAGGTCTCAGTTGTGGGCAAATAGTAAACTCCAAAACAAAACACTATCAAAGTATAATACATTTTATCTGTAGTTGAAGGAATACAATTATGTTCAAAATATATTTAGTTGAAACCATAAAATTGTGTTCAAAATGTTTAGATTTCGTCATTAAATAACCCATAGAGGTTGATATGCCGCTAAATAAAATCAAACAACCAATTAACTACCAAGCTTCCCACTCCCCGTCCCACTACCCATTCACACAAGCACGTCAGGAAGCTAGCCCGCTGCCTTCATTGTTCCCAATATGCCTTGTGAGAATTTAGTTTTCCAAGACCTCATTATCTCTCCAAGAAATTGTTGTTGTCTCTTTCTGATTCTGAAAGTGTTTTTATTTTATTTTTTGTTGTTTTTTTTTTTTAATTTTTTGTTACCCTTTTCTTTACGACTTACTCGTTGTTGCTTACTCGTTCCGGTCATGGAATTCTCAGCATCCTTCTGTAAGACTTCAGTTATGTTGCTTCAAGCTTCTTCTTCATCTATGAGGAGATAGTCCAGCATTCACTGCCATATAAAAGGACTGATATCACATAGGAATGTAGAACTCTTTGTTTCTAACGAAATATATTTCTTCTTTCTTAATACCTTGTATGAATTTTTATATATAAAGTATTGGGGGGGCGGAAATGCATGACAAAGTCGAAAAAAGTTTTTGTGTGACGCGTTTCTTCCTTTAGGACTTCATCGAACTCATATTATATATATATATATATATATATATATATATATAGTCTTTGTATTTAGGCGGCAAATGTTCTTCCAGGGAAATATTATTAAAGACAACAGACGATTAATTTTACTGATCGACTTTTTCCACTTTGAACAATTTCTGCTGGAATTTCCTCCTCTATTCGTAATTTTGTAAAGTCAACACAAAATGCTTGTCTTTAATAATATTTACCTTATATATGTGTGTGTGAGTTTAATTGAATACTACGAATAAGTTTGTCAATTTTATACAGTATTTCTCGTGGTTTTCCAGTTTGTTTATTGTTGTTGTTTTTTATGAGGACAAATATGAGTTTAGAAACTGTCCATAATGATTATTGTCCCAAGTGCTTTTGGCTAATACTTTAAGAATTTTCAAGGAGTGGGTGTATTATTATTAACCGGAAGCACTCCTGACTATAGTCAATATGAACCGTTTTTATAGTGTCTTAGTCCTCATAAAAGAAAATTTCTTCTCCCGCTGAATTAAACTTCAAGAATTCAGAATATAGAAGTAGCTTCATCAGATAATGGGCATCCTTGAGATTTCGTCTTTCGCGGACTTATTAGGCTACTAAAGTGTACAGATAAGAATCCTACAGTCTTGATTACATCAATTAATTAACATCTAATTACAGTCTCGATGGCTGAATTGGTCCAGGAATCACTCATAAAAGACAAGCTTGCAAAATTGTTTTCTATGTCCCGTGGGTGATCATGGCTGTACCACAACATTCTATCATTTGTAGCTCTTATAAGGTTTGTCTTTTTCTTCTCATTCCCAATCCATGTTCTGTCATCCATTTAAACAAGCACTTTAGACAGGTTTATCGCCGTTTTCCTCTATTCTTGCAGCTTTCAATATGTCTTGTGAGTGGCAACTTCTCCAGATCTTTTTCCTCGTTACCTGTCGTAGTAAATGTACACTGAAAATATTAAAGAATACAAATTTTTTCCGCAAAAATTTTAATTGTACCTTTTGTCCATATGTATTTTTTATTATTTTATTTATTCCTTATGAAAATTAAATGATAGCATTTTAGTTGGAGGTGGACTCCCTTTTGTCTCTTGGCAACCAATAGTTTTAGACCAAGACTGCCACAGATAAATAAACAAAATGCGTAATGATTAAATCTCATAGTCTCAAAACAATTTCAGTTGAAGAAAAATAGATCAAATTTTAAAAATGATAAAAGCAAAAACAACACAAAAAAATTAAAAATCAAAGTTAATGCATAACAATGAAAATACATTACATTCTGTCACTTCAGGAAGTATCTGATAACTTTGTGGGGATTACCTCCAACTTTTCTGCTGGTAGCTCTGTTTAGGACTATAAAAGGAGGACATAACCTCCCTCTTCCACTTTTCACTTGGGAATACATTAGGTACAACCCGGCGAAAAAAAAACAACTTTGCTATAACGTTTCCCCAACATTATATAGAGGTTGTAAAATCTATTTTTCGTGTTTGCAGACGTCTTGATTAGTCTGTAACATTTTTTTGTAACATTACATTAAAGAAAATGAATACTAAATATCTGGAACATACTTGAACGTGAATTCGTCATTTGAAGTATTGATTCTCAATTTAAAACAAACGAAAAGAAATGTTATACCTTTTAGAAGCATTGTTAGGTGAAGAAAAGGTATTCCGGTGTTATAAATGACCAATGCGGATTTTTTTCAGCAACGACACTTCGCAACGTTACCAAATGTTGGGGATCGTCGGTCAAGAATAAAAGTTAATGTCAAAAATGTTTTATTACAAACGACTATAATTTCGATGAACATTCTGAAAAAAAAAATACCCAGAATCTACCGCCCTTACGACCTTTAAAATGCATGGGGATAGTTACGTATGTAAACTACTAACTTCCCGCCCCCGGGGGAATGATCAGAATGACAGGAGAGTTCCATGGGATTTATACTAAGCCGTTTGATTAATTCCTCTTAATAACTTAATCCATTAACGGAAAATTCCAAGATGATGTTAGATCACCATCATTTTACGCACGTTTTGCTTTCATGCTGGTTGCGTTTCATTCGTTTTGACGCATTGATTACCAGTACAGCCGTTTTCTCAAGATACTGGAAGAGTTATGTCATTCATTGTGGTTATTATTATTATTATTATTATTAGCTCCGAATTAGCTTTGAATTTTCAAAATAGTCAGAGATGAAAAAAAAAAAAACCAAATTCATGCGGTGAAAGATTAGTACAACAAAAGTTTATACTCGACATCAAATGACCCAACACATACCCATACGAGATATGGTGTTCATGCCCTCGATTTTATAAATGACACAATAAGTTTCATTGAATCCTTTTTCTCCGCGGATGTAATATAGAACCCTACCATATGACAGAGAGGACACATAATGGACTAATCAAATTGTTCTATAGCGTTGTTGAAACCCTTTGAAAAATTAAACAAAATTCACTAGATTCTCTTCCTTTGAAGAGTCAACCGAAAGGAAAAGTTTTCAATCGTCTATCCCACTTCCACCAACAAACTTTCACCAAAGCCGCATCTGAGAGTTCAACAGACTCCCCCCTCTCTCTCTAAGTACACATTCCCCCCTCCTCTCTCTCTTTCTCTCTGCCTTTCACTTTCTGTATAGCTTACAGTCACATCACCTTGAAACATCGCTTTCCGTACGATCACCGAAGTTAAGCAACGTTGAGTCTGGTCAGTACCTAGATGGGTGACTGCTTGAGAATACCAGGTGCAGTAAGCTCGATGTGCAGGTGGTGTAATGGATAATGGATCGGAATTGTTAAGCGGAGGGTCGAGTTCCACTTTCCGGTGGGTTGCGTAAATAACATTAGAAAAGGTTTGAATTCACCTCTTCTTTCTCCAGCTATGGGTTAATTATTAAGATTATTATCTAAAAAAATTCTTACAATCTATAAAAAATATTTTCTTGCTTTAAATAACCTGCAAAGGGTCGATAAACCGTAGAAAAGGAACCAATCACTCTCTGTATGTACATATCTCTCTTTTCACGCACATACATATAGACATTATTTACATTATTCGGACTATTGTCCTCATCTTTGTCGCCATATTTATCACAACGTTTCGGCCGTTGTACACTCCGGCCTTCTTCAGATGGTTGGAATGTCGAACTGAACCCTTTATTTCGCCCAAAGCGTGTGAGTTCAATACCCGGTTAAGGCAGTGGAGAACTTTCAGGGGGAAATTAACAGGATAACAGGAGATAACTGATAACTGACATCCATCAAACATGGCACGTGGAACTAGAACAGTCTACCCCGGTGAGCGAAATAAAGGGTTCAGTTCGACATTCCAACCACCTGAAGAAGGCCGGAGCGTACAACAGCCGAAACGTTGTAATAAATATGGCGACAAAGATGAGGACAATAGTCCGAATAATGTAAATAATTTACATAATACCTCATCTCAGAAATATAGACAGATACATATAGACTTTTATTTGAAGTCAGACTTAAAAAGGAGCATTCATTTCACAGAAAACTTTTCTTTATCGACCAACTTTAAATTGCAGCAATTTAAGTTCCTTTTTTATATCTCAGTTTGAACAATACCTATAAGATTATCCTTATTCTTATTATGTTTATCTACGTATGTGATGAATTAATTTATTTTGCATTGCTAAAAATTGGAAGAAGAAGAATCATGATGATGATGATGAAAATTTCTCTTCCTTGATGAAAAAGAAAAGGAAAAGATCAAATGTTTCTTTTATTACTAATAACTTGGAAAACCGCCCAAAAGTCTTCTTACAACTACAATCATAAATGCATTTAATCAGCTAAGCTTTGTATTGCATAAGGTCAGAAATATCTAATATAACATAGAGCTCTTCTGGCAAGAAATAAACCTCTCAAGTCCGTAGTCGACATTCTGAATATTTAACAATGTCCGAAAATTGCTTGTTCCATAATTCTAAAATTCTAAAAGGAAAATCTTATTTCTCAATGTCAGTTGGTAGAAGTATCTTCTGCACAGCCCTATGCCAAAGTTGGCACCGTCAAACAGATATCCATCTCGGTTGATATCAACTGCATGACTAACAATAACACTGCCTTCTTTCGTTTCTTCAACAACAGTATGGTTCCCATCCCGACTGTAAACAAACAGGTGTTGAGTTTTCCTACTTACCTGGCACTGTCTGGAACTGTTGGCAGTCTGAACACGAACTCACGTCTCTTGCCAATATACAATGACATGTTCACTGATTCAAATGATTTTCAAGTATGCACATGATATGAAAGAGGCAAACGTTACGGTGACGACATGTGTCGAATAGAATACCTTCTAATAAGAGAGGACGACGGCAAAGATGACATAAGATAGGAAAGATTCGGGAGAAAGAGACACATATACACGCGTTCACGTAAAGATAATCAGAGAGCACACCCGCGCGTACAATACACACGTGTTCGTAGGCATGAATGAACGTATGTGTAAATCTTACTCTGTTGCTATGTGTGGAGAAGAAACATTTTAAATAATAATTTGCATGCAAGTATATATATATATATATATATATATATATATGACGTCATACATTATGAAATGGACAAAGTCCGACAATTATTTAAGACATTTTTTTTATGTTTATACGTTCTTTTTATAGATACAAATATTTAAGTAAATGCTCTGTTTATAATAAACAGTATTAATAACATTTACTGACCTGAATGCCCGAGAAATTTAATTTGGCCGTTTTGGCCACAGAGGAGCGTTCAGTTAGCAAGGTTGTGTTTAAAAACAGTAAAGTCGACCTTGCTAACCGAACGCTCCTCTGTGGCCGAAACGGTTAAGGCACGTCAGGCTATATGACGGTTCCGTATAGAATACAGGTTCGATTTCTCGGACATTCAGACCGGTAAATGTAATTAATACTGTTTATTATAAACAGAGCATTTACTTAAATATTTGTGTCTATAAAAAGAACGTATAAACATAAAAATATATATATATTATTCAAAGAAGGGTTCGCAATGTATTTGATCCTAACTTGTCTTCGCGACTTCAGTCACTTTCTCACCGACTTTCTCTGTCTTTTCTACAAATATTTTCATGGCAATTATTCTGATCGGCTGTTCACCTTACTCTCTCGACTGCATCAATCTAATCGTGATTAGTATCTAGGTCTCACCGTTTTACTGTTGAAGTAATTAGATAGAACTGTCAGTTCTATTCTAATAATTTTTTTTCTCAACCATTCCTTCTGATTTCTTACTTCCCTGCCAAAAACAATCATCAAAAATCTAAATGAAAAGTCAATCGCTATTTTCTGTTCCTTTATTGTCCTCTTCATCACTTTTCCTGCAACCTAGTGGTATTATCCTTTACTTGGACTGAATGATATATATATATATATATATATATATATATATATATATATATATATATATATAATAATGAATTTTTATTTTTAATCCGATATTTTTGTTCAAAAAAATTTAATATAGTGGACACAAAATAGACGTCCCATTATGTTGAAGCTTGGATAAGCATGGAATAATAATAATACAACACAAAATGTATGTAAACAAAATGTATCGAAACAAGCAAAAGGTACACAATATTTACAGTTAGTTTTGGTATATTCTTGGGAAGACTGTTCCTGTAGAATGGGTTGACTTAATCGCAGTCGGGCAGAGTCTCTGGATTGGATCTCTTGTTACTTCCCTTCCCGGTACCAACCCATATTTATATGGTCGGTACTCCACTATGCAAATTAGGTGGATCATACCACAACACATTATAACTAAATAAAAATGGTGGTATCTGTTCCAAATAAGAAGTTTTCACTATATTAAAGTTTGAATTAAAAGACAAAAGGGAAACTTTTCAATGTCAACATGTTTCGTTCCTTGAGTAACTTTATTAAGGTAAATGTGGAGATTTATTTTGTATCTTTTATTTATACATAGAAGTAAAGTGGAGAAAAATATCATTAATTTTTCAAATTTTTTGAGAACACTCTAAAATATCCTTAAAGCATGCCCTGTAAGTAAAGGTAAAGGTTGCTAATGATGTAATTTATTGCTTAATAAACGAAAGTGGGTAAATTTTGTTGAATTTTATTCTATTATTTAATGTAATATTTATTTCTATATACTTTATTTTGTTTAATTATTTATGAATTTATTTATTTTAAATATTTAAAGGTCTTTAGTTAACCATTATCATTTAATTTTTATGGTCATAAAGAAAGGAATGTAGGTTAATGTTTTGACAATAATTGATAATTTTCCTTTCAAGAACTTTTTGTCTTAGTAAGTTATTTTCTTTTAATAAGTGCAGCATTTTGAAAGCATAACAATAAATCTCTAAATTTACTTTGATAAAGTTTATCAAGGAATGAAACATGTTGGCATAGAACATTTTTGCTTTTGTCTTTTTGCTTATTTATATTGTATTTATAGATATATCTTATTTATATCTAAATTTTTACTCACATTCATATTTATGTATATATTACATTATTTTTATTTCGATTATTTGTTTTTGTTTTTAGTTGTTTTTATTTGCATTGGTGTTTTTATATTATTCTAAAAGAATCTGTTAAAAAGCAAAAACAAATATTAATACATAGCAAAAAATACTATCAGCCTATTCTAGATCAATGTGTTTTTTATAAACCATTTGTATGTTATTTAAAGCCAAAACATATTTTGGATTGTAAAAATTTTATTTTTTGTAAGTGAATATTGCATTCAGTTATCACCAACTGACATAACACCACCAAATCTAAACTAGTGATGACCTAGTGTACCAATTCCAATGCCCAGTACAAGATTACTGGGTTACTTGTCAAAAACCAATGAACTATATCAGACATACCACTACCTCCTTGAGTAGACATCTTACATGCCAGTTTTCAAAGCAGAGTGCAAATAATAATCATTCATTAACTCATAATTTACAAGAACGTTTAAGGAAAATTCTAGTCGGCAACACAAAGATACTTTTCAAGTCAGATAGCCATACACAACTCATAATCAAGGAAGCATTGCTTATTAAATATTATTCACTCACTGTCATTCTTACACTATTTTGCAGTGTGTTAAAAGTTTTCTAAACTTAGAAGTCATGTCCAGGTCAACCGGCCACACATAGCATGTGACCACCAAAAACCATACAACATCCGCTGCAATACTCCACAGAGCAAAACTACTATGTAGACACTGCACACAAAAATTCACCATCCAAAAACAACATCCTGGATAATGTCTAGAGAACTAGCTGAAAACTCTTGGAGCAATTATAACTATGGACAAATCCTATATTCCTTAACCCTTGAAAAACAAAAAAATGTTAGAATGGTGAAAAACTCAATTAATTAAATCTTCCTTGTCTGCCATTTTCAATGGAACAGGCTTGAAAGAAAAATTGCTGGCAAAATACACATTATTAATATATATATATATATATATATATATATATATATATATATATATATATATATATATATATATATATATATATATATATATATATATACACAAGTGTGTTGAAAATTTCTCAGCTCAACCCACTTCACAAAATTTAATCAAATGACAAAGTATCAGTTGTTTTTTTGATTCCCATCTTGTTTAGACACAGAAGATTTCAGTGCTCTTCATTTACGCATACTAATTTATTCTTTATTCTTTGTATGACAGTTTCATTGTAATATTAATTATACTGCATCAATCATAAATTTAAAAAGACTGATCCACAGTGCAAAATTATAGGAAAACAACTGGGACATTGCTCTAGTTATAGAATCATTTAGTCCATGCCATTTTGATTGCTAAAACACTTACAACAATAAAATTCTTGGAATTGCAGTTTTAGTAAATTCAAAAACGCTCTCAAATTTTGAAAATACAACCTTAGCATTGTGACTGTACGCTCCACAATTTTGTAACTGTTAACAATAACACACTTAAAAAAAAAATATTTCGATTTGCATAACATTTATTTTTGTCTTGGATGTTACCTGAATCTTACCTAAAAAGAAAAATAATATCCATGCCCAATGATGATAGGATAAACTATCAAAAGTACTAACATATTTATGAAACATACGAAACATCTAAAAACAAGGATCGCATCATTCAGTGAGTGGTTAGTGGATTAATACTTTTTAAATTTGTTAGCGAAGTGAATTCACCATTTATTGCATTAATATTACTAATTTATTCTTTGTATGATTGCTTCATTGTAATATTAAATACACATATATGTATATTTGTATTGTGTGTATATATATATATATATATATACATATATATATATATATATATATATATATATATATATATATATATATAACTCAAAGAGAAAAATAATGACATAATCTAATCAAGAATGTTTTCATTCTACACTACTTCAAATAAAAGGTAAAGAAGGAAACTCCCATCAATAATGAAAAAAACAATAACAGCTACTGGACATGACAAATCTGTTTTCCTGAAAATTTGTTTTAAGAGAAAGATTTTATAAATTTCCACCAAAATCACTACGAGCTGCTTAGTTAACGAATGGCAAATGTTTCCTTGCTAATATTACCATTGCCATTACTATATATATATATATATATATAGATATATAGATAGATAGATAGATAGATAGATAGATGTGTGTGTAGAAGGCAAAGAAATTATTTTGGAGTAAAGAGAGAAAAACTGAAAGTTAAAGAAAAAAATGATAAAAGAAAGAAATATAAGAAATAAAAGAGAAAAAGAAAAAGACAAAAAAATGAAGAGTGAAAAAATAAAGAAAGAAAGAAAACTTAAAATAAAAAGAATGAGAAAAAAAAAAAACAGATTCAAATGCGATGATACAGAAAATCTAGTAACAAAAGAAAAATACTGACTGGTAATATAAAAACAAACCAAGGAGAAAAAAAAATGGTAAAAAGTTGGAATTGGGTAAAATGTGTGGAAAAACTTTGACAAAGAAATGATCCTTTCTAATGAAAAGATCTTTGCAATGATTGCAAAGTTGGAATTGGAAAACTGAAAGTCTTGGAAGTTACACCAACAATCAATCATGAAAAGTTGAAATTAAATTGCAAAATAATTGTCCAATTTTTCCATTAGTCCAAATGAAGCACTGACCATATTGGGATGAAAAAGTGGACACACAGACAGAGAGACAAAAAAATTGAAGGAATGAACAATTAGCACAGCTCAAGTAGCACAAATATACAAATCTTAATTTTCATTGGTTCAGATAATTTATTCAAAAGATTGGCAGATATAAAAGATGAGGACTCGGTTTTGATGATGGGAAGAGAGAAATGATGATGAGAAGAGATGGTTGGGAAGAGATGATAAAGAGGAAGAAGATTGAGAAAATGAATAAAAGAAAGAAATGTAGAATGAAAACTGGAAATGTCCCATAGTGACAGTTTACTAGAAGAGGAGTAATTGAACATGGGATGGAGGAAAGGTGAAGAGAGGGTCAAAGTAAAAATAAATGAAATTTACTAACTATACCTTGATTTGGTACAAAGCCATACTTGTGAATGAGGTGTGTGATATGAATTAAATCAAAGGAAATGAATATTAAGAGGATAAGGAGGATAGGCAATGATTGATTCTTGACTTGAAGAAGTCAACATTAAAGTGTTTAAGGAAGCATCCAGGTGAGAGTCTGTTCCACAAAGAGGCAGTTCTTTAGAAAAATCTCTCTGAACTTTCTCCTCACATTTTTAATATGAGGGAAATGAGGATGATTCAGTTCTGTGAAATTAGCATGACATGTCTTAACTGTAAAACATATAAACGTAATAATAACAACCAACAATAAGATAATCAATAATAAATTTTGAAAAAGTTAACAACGCTATAAATAGCCAAAAACATGCATCCGGATCCATAATTATTTCCACCCAATATCCCTTAGAATAATTCAAAGCATAACCATTACCACCCACCAAAATAATCGTTAGAACAATATAACAGATTACTCACAATGCATCACTGACCTGTATATATAGATAGTTAAGCAAAAACACAATGCATATGGCCAGACATTTGCTGCTAGGGGTTGACGTTAATGTCCACTTTTATATTTACATACATTCTATCCCTGATAGTGAGCACTTTCTAGAGAAATAATACCTTTCTTTATTTATTAATTTGACAGATTTTTATTACTTTAAATATTATTTTTAGTGGATAGCCATATTTGAGCAATTCAGGCTGGTAGACAAAAATAAATATACTGTTTAAAATAAACGGGACTGACCAAGAAAAGATTAAAAGAACTTTTGTTTGGTCATTTGGTCAGATTTCAGGAATCTGATCAAGCAAGAACTTTTCAGCACCCATTCATAGGTCTATTTTGCAGCTGAAATAGTTGCATTTGAGCAGCTGGTGTGTTTTTTTTTTGCATTTTTTATGTCATGTCCCTTTAGGATGTAGGTGATCCTGGGATTTTCTTTTTAACAGACTACACTGGACTTGCCAAGTTGAGTTAAATGAGTGCCCTATCAAACAAGTCCATGAGGTGACAGTTGAAGGCAGCAGAGGAAGAGAACTGCCCAGGATGTTATTTAGAAGGACGATAAAAAATTGGGCCTACAACTAGGTGATGTTAATGACAGGTGTAAACTGAGATCATCTGTCAGGCAGGACCCACCTTGCTTTGTGCAAGTTTCTAGGTCCTGCCTGAATAAAAAAAATCACAGCTACAATGATGATGAAGAACAGCTGTCAATTGCAATGACTTCTTGCAAAAGATATGGGGATTAGTTTCCTCTTGCCTTCCATACTGTTTTAAATTCAGAACTTTCCTTCTCATAATCTGTCTGCTGCCCAAGGAGAGAGGACCCAGTTTGCTTCGCTATTTAACCCATAGCTGGAGAGAAAAAAATGAATTTATGCTTTTCCCAATTAGTGTAAAATGAACATAGCATACTGGTTTGGAATTTGAAATCATCACTTTACTGATTTCCCTTTTTCCAATGATAACTCTTACAGTAATCATCCACCTTTGGCATGCAAAAAATAAGGCCTTGTGCCAGACTAAAATTTTCTGAGCAAAAACAATTTGCCTTGTTGCATATTTTCTACTGATACCAGTGGCTGATATTGAAGTTTCAAAGTCTCTCCCCATACATGACTGCTGCTACACTATCTTTCTTATGCTTTTTAGACTTATGCCATATAAATTTAAAATTATCCACTTTTGAGTATATGCTATCAAAATTTAAGCTCACCCCTTTTTAGCCTTATGCCCTAAGAAGTTTAAAGTTACTGCTTATGCCATACAAATTTAAACTTACTTCCTTTTGCCTTATGCCATACAAGTTTAAACTTACCACCTTGTTACCTTATGACATATGTAGTTAAACTTAGTAAATATGAAGTTTCATATTTCTTGCATCAAAATGAAATATGGAATGAAATGACAAACATTTTGATATTGTTTTTCTACTTTTTTCTGAGAGAATTTTATATTTTTTTATTTAACAACCTTTTATACATTTTTCTGTGAAGAAATTACAAGATTTGGAAGACCTGAAAATGTCTCTTGATTCTATGTGTTTGAAAGGATGAAAGATAACCAATTTCTTTTATCATCGACAAACAACTGATGAAACATTGTTTTCCAATTCGGCTTGTGATTAAACCTTAAAAATGAATTTGTGGAGAGACTATCAGACTGAAGAGAAATACAAAACATGACAAAATTTTCTCTCTTGAAATGCACACAAATGCACACACACACAGATAGATAGATAGATAGATAGATAGATAGATAGATAGATAGATAGATTGCAAGATAATGGTGAAGATTACAATAGACATATAGATAGATAGATAGATAGATAGATAGATAGATAGATAGATAGATAGATAGATAGATAGATTCAGATAGAACGATAGCAAGATAAAGGTTAAGATTACAATAGACATATAGATAGATAGATAGATAGATAGATAGATAGATAGATAGATTCAGATTAAGATAGAATGATAGCAAGATAAAGATTAAGATTACAATAGATAGATAGATAGATAGATAGATAGATAGATTCAGATTAAGATAGAACGATAACAAGATAAAGATTAAGATTACAATAGACATATAGATAGATAGATAGATAGATAGATAGATAGATAGATAGATAGATAATGAGTGGACTGGTGCAGAAAAGCTTCAACTAAACCAAGAGGAATGGCCGAGATTCATGAAAGATACAAAACTACTGCCTACATTCAGAAGTTCAACAGACTTGTCATACAGTTTCTGAAGTTTCTTTAATCTTTTCAAAAATATTCTGATGTTTTGTCATTGAAATACTGACTTTAGGAAGTTGGATTGGGCATAGATAGACAGACAATATTTGCATACAGTGAACAGATGACAGGTGCTTGATGAGTAGGCATATAACATGAAACATGTACATTGATTCCTTCTTCCTTTGTGCCATGAGTGATCATAGCTCTCCACAACTTCCTATCATTTCTAGCAATGATTGCCCTCCCATACAGTTCATGTTCTGTCATCTGTTTATACAAGCTTGTTAGGTCAATTATTCAGTGTTACCCTCAGCCTCTCTATTTAAGATGGAATGATCTATTGACCTAATAGCATGAGACCCTTGCACCAATCCTGGATATATTATTAAAGTCTCAGCATATTAATGTTTCTGATATGACTTTCATAGAAATTAGAGTAGAGTTGCTAGACTTACACCTGGCTAGTTTTGAATTCAGTTGCTAAGGCTAGAGAACCTATTCTGCCCTGATATTTAACCCATAGCAGGAAGAAAAGAAAGGAATTCATACTTTTTCCAAGGACATTTGTGTGAAAGTGGATGCTGTAATTTGAAGTTGGTATAATGACCCCACTTTTCATGCCAATAACCACTAAAGTCATCATAGGAAAAGAGAGGTTGTAAAAATCCAACATTTTCAGTCAGAAAAAAACACCAGAAGTACTGAGGATTATAATTGTACTTTTTGCTGTATTATTTATCAGAATCTCCCTTAACCATTTATAATCTATCATTTATCCAAGCATTGAATATTGCTGCCACATTTGGTCTGGTTGCATCTGCTTTGTATATAGAGATTCTTGATGCTCTTATGGTTGAAAAGTAGACATTCTAATCACTCAGCCATGCATACACACACACACACACACATATATATATATATATATATATATATATATATATATATATATAAACCACAAAACTGTAAAAGGTAAACATGGAGGGTAAATAAGAAGCCATGACTAAATTAAATTTATTATTAAAACAAACAAATCAGTATTAATAAGCTCCTTGTATAAAACATTAAAAAAAAATTGCTCACAACCCACCCAATTAGATTTCAATTTGATTAACAACACAGAACATTCAGGGAGTTGCCCACAGCTCGGTCAGTTTTTAGAAGCTGTTTACATCAAACTTCATTGACCAAGGCTGAAGAACTTTCTTCATTCTCTATATCTCATGTGCGGATCATGAGTAAAAATTTTGTTTTATACTCAGTAGGAGCTTATTTACACCGATTTGTTTATTTTTAGTAATAAATTTGTTTTAGTTGTGACACCTCATTTACCTCCACCCCATATCTACATTTTTCAGTTTCACCATTTTCATTATTATTGTCCCTGAAGAAGTGTTAGATGAAAAAAGGTCCCTTTAAAAGAATGTGTTCTGTCATTTTTAAAGCCATATTTAAATTCTGTGGTACAAAATCTTTATTTAAATATATATATATATATATATTTAAATGAATTCTTGCTGCCTAAATATACCTCACATAGATGTGTGTGTCTGTGTATGACTAACCATCAAGAAGACAGAACCTAGGGATCATCAGCAAGAGAAAAAGCTCAAGAGGCGTGTTACAAATTGGAGATATAAATATCAAGCAGGTGCAGAAGTTTAAATATCTGGGAAGCATTTTAACAGAAGATGGTAAATATGACACTGAGATCTGAACACACATTGGACTAATAAAAGAAGCATTCCAAAAGCTAAGCAAGGTGTTGAGAAAACAAAAATTTTGATATAAACAAACAAAAGAGTATTGGATCACAATTTGATATCCACGTGTCTAATACAGCAGTGGATTCTGGACAATCTCCTCATCCCGAGTAAGCAACAAGGAAGTCCCAATGCCACTAAGACACAAGGTTGAGGAAGAAAAAGTATACCATAGTAAACTTTTCTGCTTGCCATCAACATGGCTGACACTAGACTCATGAACGTAGCACACTTCCTGACTTCATGTTTTCAAATGATTTAAAGTGGAGTGACTACATTAAATCAATAGATGCATCTACTGCAAGGAAAGTTGGGTCACTGTGTTGTGCCAGAAAATTTTTCATGTCAGAATTCATTTTGCACATTTAAAAATCTACCATTCATCTGTGCATTGAATATTGCTGTCTGGTGCTCCTGTAATTCATCTCAAGGTTCTTGACAAAATACAAAGAAGGATCTGTAATGTAACTGATACTGACCTGACATCTCAATTTCAGATAATTTCTCACTGATGTAGTGTACCGTCTCTGTCTTTTCTATAAATATTTTCATGGAAACTGATCTGGCAAACTTTTTTCCTTGGTTCTCCGACTACATGAATTTGAGTATGCTACTAGATTGTCATCTACATCCCACCCTTTTACTGTTGAAATAGTTAAATGCAACCACAACTTCTACTCCATCAGCTTCTTTTCTCACACTTCATGCCTGTGGAACTTCCTTCCATTTACTTGCTTCCCTGATAACTACAATCTTCAAAAATTTAAATGCAATGACAATCTTCTTGAATCTTTTGTTCTTTCATCGATCCTCCCTATTCAGACTCTACTCTTTCATTCTCACTCCTTGTAACCCTCTGTGTACTAGTGGCATTTCTACCTTGCTTGGGGTTAAATTATTTTTAAAAAAAAACTTTACTGAGGAGAATGTACAATAAAAAAAAACAGGGTTCAGGAAGACAGAAGATGTCAATTGGTGTTACATTTGATTTTTTAAAGATTGTAGATTGCAGAGAAGCAAGAAACTGGAAAACAGTTCAACAGCAAGAAGGGCAAGAAAAGAATCTATTAGAATAAAACTTACAGTCATATTTCACTATTTCAACAGTAAAGTAATGAAACCTTGTTACCAATTTAGTGATTGTATGTGACAGGAAAGCATAAAACTGGAAGAAAGTACCACAGGCAACAAGGAAGTGAAGTTGAGATACCAACATGCTTTGTCTGACACACACACACACACACACACACACACACACACACACACACACACATATTATGCTAGGAAAGTTAATTAATTGTGTCACACATTTCGTACTTTCAAACGTTACTCTATGTAACCGAGAGGTCAAGGCATGTTAGATCTAATGACAGTTTCTGCCAGAGGACGCATATTTTTCTAACAAGATTTCTTGAATATTCAGGCTGGTAGATGGAAATAAATAAATATACTATTTAATAAATAAATAAAAACAGGACATCTATTCAAAAATGAGTATCCATTAAAAATAATGTTTAAGCAAATAATATATATATATATATATATATATATATATATATATCTGTGTGTGTGTAAGCAAATATATAGATATACATCCGACAGTATGAAGAAAAATATATACGGAAAAAACAAACAAAAATCCTTATATGCAATTATGCTGTTTCAATGTTAATATGTCAACGTCGGACGTTTCGGTCTAATAAACCATCTTCAGGACATATTCATAAAATATAATTAACATTATCAATTCAACATGACAAAGACGATGTACATAAGAACAAGACTTATCCAAACAGATAATTGAAAGTTTTATAAGATCAGCGCTCCGTTTAAACATTGGTATAAGCTGACTATGAATTTACAGTCCTAAAGGTTTCATTTGTTTCACAGCTACATTACCTGTTCTTTCAAATTTCTGACCTTCCCAAAAGTATCCTTCCTATAAGATTACTAGCAACCCATACAACCGATCAGCTTTAAGCAAGTTTTCTTTTTGTTTTAGAAAGCCTTTCTTTCAAAATTATTTTGCCTAAGAAACCATACCAATCCAGTGAATATGTTTTTATGTAAACAACTTTGTCTCAAGGGGTTTCAGAAAGAATACTTTATTTGGGCCAAGGAAGTAATGTATTGTCTTCATTTTGGCCCTAAAAGGTAGCTGTAACAGGTAGATACACAGCCATACTCAATATGCTTTGACTCTTTGGGAACCCTGTTAACTCACCTAATCTCCCATAATATAAAGCTGGGCATGCCTATATTTAACACTATTTAACAACTGCTGTCAAGCCTCTTTAGGACTCTACTCACCCCACATGAGTGTGTCACCATCCATCTCATCACACATGCAGATTTTGAAATCAGTTCACCAATTCGATTTTTATGATAATAATCAATAAATCTTTATAAGACCCCTATATAGAATTATTTATTTTGGTCCAAGGCCTCAAGTATGGTGTACCCTATGAAGATCAAAGCCATTATTCTACAGTAGTTATGTGTAAGACCAGCTTGCTAACAATTACTTTGCAACCAGGCATTTTTAATATTTATATACAAATATACATTGGGCACCTTGACATGGTGCAATGGTTAGTAACCTTGTCTTGCTAGATCAGTTATGACTGAATAGCGAGTTTGATCCTTATTGGATGCCCCATACATTCGGCCTTGTACCATACCTAAGCTATGCTTAGTAAATCACTATATACATAATACTAAGTATCTACACACAAACACATACATACACACACACATCTACATGTAAATATACATATGTATTTGAGGGTGGTGGGGAGATTAATATATAAATACATCCATACTTTTAATATGCAATGCAATCATCCCAACATTCAAATTGGGCATTTTGACGTGTAGTAATGATTAACAAGCTTGTCTCGTTAGATCAATTATGACTGAATAGTGAGTCTGATCCTCACTGGGTGCCTCATACTTCCAGCCTTGTGTCACATCCAAGCAGCGCTTAAGAAATCACTATACCAATATTCAATATTCTTTATCTTTTGCCTATATTGTTATCTACTGGGATGATGGGGTAGCATGATGAGCTGAGTTCAATTCCATTTCTTCTTCCCCAAACTATGGGTTAAATAGCAGGACAGACTGAGCTACTTAGCTTTGTGTTGCAACCAGTCTAGAAGAACTGCTCTGAAGCCAAACTAGAGAAAAAGCAACAGGAAACCATTTCACCATCTTTCCCAAGAAATCATGGCAATTCACAGATATTAAAGAAAAAAGGACGCTGTGCAGGGCTACATGTGACTTCATCCTGAAGAAACACTGCATTTAAAAAAAGCCATTTACTAAGTTTAGATTAGTCTGCCCAATAACATCATTGTGGGTATTACATAAAGATTGAACAAGTCTATGAGTCAAGCTTGTTAACCATTAGTGTAGAACTAGTCAAATCTCTACAACAGAACTCACATGCAAACAAATATGTAAACGTATATTCATACACATTCTTTTTCTTCCTATTTGTCTTCCTTCATGAAATGTTCTACTACTCAAATCTTAAAGGTCAACATCTAAGGGTGTGTAATAGATGTCATTAAATCCACAAATAAGCTCATGTTCCGTGGAAACTCTTGTGACCTTCTATAATAAACTAAGACTTATCCAACTTCCTGGTATTGTAGTTACAAATGTTTGCAATGACTAATCTCCTTTTGCAAGTGGAGATGGCTCCACTAATGGATCTAGAAATTTCCAGATATTCTATAATCTAAAAATAAATTCTATAATTATATATTAATGTTATAAATTCTAGAAATTTCCACATAGCAATAACAATTTTCTGTTGTTAGTTTTCATTCATTAGAGGAATGATATTTTTTTCCTTTACCATTCATTATCCACTTAATATTTCTGATTTAAAAATTTTGACAATTTAGAATGTTCTACTAGTAGGAAAGGAAAAAAAGGAAATTCAGTTGACGAAAACTTTTAAATAAATGCAGAATTAGATCTAAAATCTGGAAGATGGTTTAAATGTAAAATAAAAATTCAAGAAACAAAAATTAACATTAATGGACAGCATTCAAATATTTTTATGTTTGTATTTATCAAAGTTTATTTTGATATCATCTATAACATTGAGAAAGAGACATTATTTTTCCTTAAAAAAACAATTCATTCTATTTGTTATGTTATCCTCACAACATTTCAGCAGATCTATTTTATAGCCTGCTTCACAAATATTATTCCTATTGAAAGAGAAAGAAACTTTCTTTGCTTTAAAAAATCTATTCATTCTATTTGCTGTTTATGTTATTCCCACAATATTTCAGCAGATCCATTCTACAGCCTTCTTCACAATTATTATCACTATGGAAAGAGAGGGTTATTTTTTACAGTTTATGATAATGTGTATAATAGAGGCCATTTCATAATGTATGCATAGTGTTGTTATATATACATAACAATGTCATTTATATTTATATGCAAGTGTTTCTAAAAATATCTCAGCCTGATCATGAACAAAAAAGTCTTTTTGGTCTGTTGAATCATTTTACAAGTGATTCAAGCTAATATTTCATTCTGCCATTTTCATTCCACCTAAAATAAAACCATATTTATCTCTGAAAATACAGACATGCATATCTACAAAAACATTGTGTACTTCGACATTATGTAATGGTTAGCAGTCTCATCTCACTAGATCAGTTAAGACTGAATAGTGAGTTTGATCGTCACTGGGTGCCCCATACTTCTGGCCTTGTGCCACATCTAAGCTATGCTTAGAAAATCATTCTATCTACAAAAACAAACACACAAAGACATATGGAAGGAATAATATACAAATCAATATCAGTTATGTGCCATACATGATACACGCTTTGGTGATCATGTATCTTTTGATACATGACTGACGAGGCAGATTATTTCCTGCAGTAGGTTACCATTTCTTTCTGTGTTAGACCAGTTGCCATCCAAGGCTAAAGAACCCAGTCTGTCCTGCTATTTACTCATAGCTGGAGGGAGAAGAAAAGTATTTATACTTTCCCAAGGGTATTAGCACATAAGTGAATGTAATGGATTTGACTGGAATTCGAACTCGGCTCTCTGATTCCTCAATCTGAGCCACTATCCATTACTCAACCATGCCTCCCTGATAAGGCTAATAGTTAATGAGAAAACAAAAATGCATTTAATGCTTCGAATGGACTTCGTCAGTCTAATAATAGTATTATTGATGGAATCTTATATATATGCTTGTGGGATGAAATATAAGAGATGCCAGTTATGATTCTACATTGAGAAATGCTAAAGATGCAAGCACACTTGCCTTTAATTTAAAAAAATTTTGGCATCTTATATTTAGATGCCATATTGCCAATCTTGTTCACCATTTCTACTGTTTATGTACTGATAAATATAAACAGTCATTGGCAACCTTTTTCAAGCAGCGGGCCACACTACTAAAAAGATTCAAGGTATTTTTATTTAGCAGTGCCTCAGTTACTTTCACTACAGCAGCCCATATACATACGTGTATTGTATGTGCAGTTTGTTCATGTGTTTCCCAAGAGGAACGCGTTTTCTGTGAGAGATTTAAATGTTGACATCTAAGCGGAAAGAGTAAGAAGAGACTACGAAAAATTATCGCAGGGTATTTATAGTCCGGAGTGGGAAAATCATTCAAAGGTAAAAATATTAGAAATTTACGATTAAAAAAAAAAAAAAAAAAAATACAAAATGAAGCATAATTTCAAAATAAAAAGCATCAAAAACAATTTTTATTGAAAGACAATTAATGACGGTTTCACAATAAACACCTTTTTAGCAAGTTTTGTCATTATCTTTTTTTTTTTTTTGTAATGCTAACAAATCACAAAACAAAAGTAAACAAAAGACCTTTTTTTCTCAAGTTTTATTCGTTTTCTTTGTTCTAAAATCAGGTACATTTTATACATGAAAATTAGCTTTTTTCCCTGGAGTTTATCTGCAATGTCTTCCTTTCCTAGCGATAAAAAGGATTTACGGTAATTCTTGTTACTTGTACTTACTTCTTAAGGTCACGTGACATCGTTCTACTAATGCTTTTTTGTGAAATCATTGACAAATTTTTGTAACATTTTCTACTAAAACCAAAACATTATCATTGGTTCCAAATATTTAAAATCCAAATATTTCTATTGATTCATCAAAAATGGTGGAGGGACATTTGTGTCCCGGACAATTGCGTCCCTGGATAACTGCGTACCTCTGATAATTTTTTGGAGCTACCATACTTTCTTTTTTTAAGAGTTGCTCATTGCAAACCAACTTTATTTTAAACAAGCAGAAAGGTAGTCAACCATAAATTGGAAAATAGAGAAAAATTTCTTTTTTAAAAGCAAGAAGCTAGCAGTTTCAGTTCACTTCAACATTGCGTACTGCAAACATTCTGGACTTTTTTTTACTTGGAACCCATGGCTATGTTCCTAAAATCAAACACTGGTGGAAAAATATTTGTGGACGAGGAATGTTAGAGCTACCACTATCATAAGAAAAACGCCGTTGAAACAAAAACATACTGGCAATGTGTAGCACGATCTTGTGTTAATCTGTCATTAAACAAAAATAAACTTTTTTTTTTTTTTTTTAAATTTGTGATCACTTCCTATGCCTTTTTGAAAATTTATGGTAATTGACTTTAAAAGCTTCAAAAACTTATCAGAGTTAGTTACGCAATTATTCAGGGACGCATTAGGGAAAGCGAATATCCTGGTACGCAATTGTCCGGGACGCAAATGTCCAGTACGCAACTGTCGTAGAACCACCAACAATATATCCTCCAAATATTTAAATCTCTCTTCTATACAACTACGGTTTTATTTAGCTTCAACCCATAAAAATATAAGACACAAAATGTTTGGCAGCTTTCTACATTTGCTTTAATAATTTCTGTAAAAAAATTAATAAAAATAAACTTTAACTGAATAAATGTAAAATATTTGTAAAATTTAGAACAAAGCTGGCATTTCGATGTTGAACAGTTTCTTCTTCAGTAAAATGGTGTTCCCGGCTCTCCACAACTTCCTATCCTTTTTAGCTCTTAGCAAATGTTTATATACTTGCTATCCCACCCAAAACCTGTTCTGCTATCCATTTGCACCAGATTACCCACTGGTTCTCTCTGTCACACTAGCCACTGAAAAGACCAGTGTGTGTCAAATTCTCTAAGCTTTCTTTCCTCTTTATGTATCCCTGAAATTTAAATTGGATCTTTCTGAATCTAAGTATAAGTGATCTTTATATTTACATTTTCCTTAAAACTTCTTTATTGCTTACATGCTCTGTCCATGATATTCATAACTTTCTTACTCCACCCTTTTCATAGCATCACTTACCTATTGCCACAATTCTTGATTTCTTTGATAATTCTGCGTAAAAATACTGATCAAATTTAACTCCTCCCAACTAATGCATCCTAATGAATGCATCCTAATAACAAAAGTGCAGATAATAACAGAATAACCAAAGATGAAAACAATAATTTAAATTAATCAAAATCTATTGATAATTCCTCATCTGGATTTTTTCTGTTAATTCACTTAAAATAATGTATAGTTACTTATCGCAAATATTAATTCACCCCCAAGAAATTACAAATTTTAAATCAAACTTTGTTTTTTATTAAATTTTTGCTACTCTTTTGAAATTATAAATTTTAAACCAAAACTTGCTATGAAGTTGTTGGAGTTAATACAAGAATGCGACAACAAGGAGAGTGGTGTTTGCTTCTTATACAGTGTAAATATTTTTCCTACATTAGTGAAAGGCTCTAAAAGACATGATATGCATTTGAGCTTAACAGATCGACAGGATAGATAGGGATGCTGTCTCAGTAAATGCCGTGAAGAGAAGTTGCTAAAGAAAGGAAATTGGCTCCTAGGGTCAAATGCCAAAATGAAGAATAAGTCCATGTTCAGGACTCATTACATCATGATAGACTCTTATTTGTGTGAGTTCTTTTGAAGACATAAGCTAAAAAATAACAATGGATGCATTTTTTGAACAAATTTTAAAGGGCATTTCTGAATTTTGGTGTGAATTTTAGTAAATATAAATTCTTTTTATTTTAGGGTGAATTTTGGTGTGAATCAATAGAAAAAATCCTCTCATCTCAAAATGAAAAACAAAGACCATCCAGGATAAGACTGCCAGAATAACGAAATATGAAAACCATGAATTATTTTCCATCCTACAACCCCTTTCTGTACAGCTGAAATATTGCGAGACTCTTACTATTTTATCTGTAGTTTCATGTCAGATGCTCTGATGAAATACATTTTTTAGTTCTAACTGTCGTAACCTCTGTCTCACCACATCTCCATTGGCTCAAGTATTCTCTTCATCTGCAATGCAGTTGTCCTGTATTCACTGCCATATAAGATTGATCGGTTGCTTGATTTGTCTTTTACGGTTTATCAACCCTTTGTAGGTTATTCAAAGCTGCAACATATTTTTGAGATTGTAAAATGAATTCTTTTTTTTTTGTGAGTGAATATTGCATTAATAATTTATTTTGAGAATAACAATGATTTTTTTTTTTTAGGTACATGTCCTACTATTTAACCCATAGCTGAGATGAGGAAGAGAAGAGAGTATTTGGGCATAAGTGAATGTAATGAACCCTGCCATATAAGAGAATTTATATATTTGGCAAGTGTGTTTTGGATTTGTGCATATGATGGTGTCTATCGGCACATGAAATGGGACTGGAATGACGGGTTCAAATTCCAGGTTACCCTGTTGCATTCACTTTCATACAAAAGAATTTTGGGAAAGGCATCAATCCATCACTTCTCCAACCAATTTAGAGTTAATTCCAGAATAGACTAGGTTTACTTGTTTTGAGTGGCAACCAGTGTAGGAGAAGGAAAACTGAAGATGACTGGTTCTCGGAACTAAAGATGACTGGGGTCTGTTAAGTTAACTTCCCTTAGATACACCATTACCATTAGGAAAGTTGATTCTCTGTGTCATGCTAGACAATTTTTCTTGCTCGAATCTATCTTACACATTTATAAGTCTATCATTCACCCATTCATTGAACCTTGCTGTCACATCTGGTCAGTTGCTTCTGCTATATATTTAGAGATTCTTGATAAAATCCCAAGAATAATCTGCAATGTTATTGATCCTTGTTGGAATTTTTTGGTACTAGTGAGCCAGCCAAAATGATTTTATAGTTCACTAATAGAAGGGTTAACCAATCAGAAGGTTCAAAATATTCAATGCGACGTGTATAAAGGCGGCCATGTTTTTTTCCGAATATGCATTGCCAGCCTTTGATATCGAAGACTGAAGAATTACGGAACCGCTGCTGGTGAGTGTTAATCTTTAACGTTGTTTCATTGAACAGATTACTTACTGCACTATATTCTTTATTCATATACTATGGTGAACATGGTTAACAATCCTGAACTGCCATCTTGCTTCAGTCACTTTCCCACCGCCATAACACGTTGCTCTGCTGTGCCTTTTCTATAAATACAGTCATGGAAATTGTTCTGATGAACATTCTTTTTAAAAGATTTTTATTCCCCACAGACAAATTGTATATATGGGAACTAGTTAGGACTTCATGGAGACTTGGGTGTATTATGGGTGGCAATAGTAAGAATGGTAAGTAAAAATGTGTTGTTTTGGTGTAAGGAATATTGTGGTATGTTTAGGTCAGTAATTGTAGCTAGCTAGGTTTAAGATAAGACAGATTGAAGACCAGCCTTCTCTTATCCCCCCCTTTTGGCCTTGTGCCACATTTTTGAATTATATCAAAATAAATATTACTTTCCTCTATGCTACCTTGATTGGCAGGTAGGTCTTATCATTTTACAAATAAAATGGCTAGATTTAGCCATAAGTTCTATGTTAATAGTTTCTTTTCTCACACTTCTTGCTTGTGGAACTCTCTTTCAGCTTCTTACTTTCCAGACAATTTTCATCTTCAAAAATTTAAATGCACTGTCAATGATTATCTTCTGTCTTTAAATTACAGTTTTTTTATTGTTCTCTCTCCTTAATAATATTTTTCTTTTTCTCATATTCTTCCTTGCATCTTACTCTTCATTGTCTACTTTTATGTTTAAAAATTGCTGATACCTCCTGACGAGTGGACAGAGTGATTCCTGGATGGTCTATCTACGAAACTCTGGAGTTGGGATGCTGAAAGTAACATCTATCAGCTAAGTACCTTTTACTTGTATTATACCACACAAAACAGAATATTTAAATATCCACTCTTTGCCTGAAGAAGATCGCGAGACCTGGAACATGTGTTGTAAAATTATGAAAAATAAACCATGATATATATTTTTAAAAACTCTACATTACAACCAAATACATTTGCGGTATCTCTCTTCTTTTTTATATATATATATATATATATATATATATATATATATATATATATATATATATATATATATATATATATATATATATATATATATCCTGTCTTCTTTAATGTTATCTCCTGTCTTCTTAATGACTTCTTATATTGTTCTCTCCTTAATATTTTTCTTTTTTTTATTCTTTCACACTCAGTAAACCCTTGTGTCTTAGCGACTTTATTGCTTTGCTTGGGGTGAAATGATTAAAAAAAAAATATTGCTACAGTTGCAGTACATGTAGTGCCGCTATGGTTCTAATGAGTTATGGGCCTCCCCAGCATCGTTTGACAAAAAAGTTTTAGATCACCAGTTTGGTGAATAAATCAAATACAAATATTTTAAATTGAGAAAAGCTTGGGAAAACCTTCCAGGCAGGAAATATATAAAATAACAATACAAAAAATGTTCTTTCTTCAAAAGCAATAAGCAAAATGAAAATGAGTTTGATGACAGCAGAAAGAGAGCGAGAAAGAGAGAGAGAGAGAACAAAGCAACCACAAAATAACAATCATTTACACACAAACAACTGGGAATATTGGTCATCAGCCGTTAACACGACTCCATTTAGGCACACAGTGAAAGAGAAAAGGAAACATTTTTCTATTTATTTTATTTCATTTTCTCGAGGCAATCACCACCTCCCGGAATCAGGACATCATTTTGCATATCCTGAAATGTGTTTGCATATATTGCCATTGTTAGGTTTAATTTGCTACAAAAGAGGAAATTGATCAAGCATTTTTTAATCAATTTATGGCCAAATTATTAGATCAGTGAGTTGTGGGGTTGGGGACAAAATGCCTGACTGATAACAAGTCAGTTTTGTTTTATCACCATAAAATGAGAGTAACAGGGATGACACATCAAGAATTTCCGGAAGATACTTTTTTGTTTATTTTTTTAGAGTTGGGTTAGTGGAGGTTGAAGATAAATGCCATTAAAGTAGATAGTTTGTTTTGTTTTTTTTATTTATATATAAGAGATTTTCTACATTTTTTTTTGTACTGAATAGATTATTGATATTTTTATATTTTGTTATTGTTTTAGGTTTTTGATTGCTTGGACTCACCAGATAATATTACTACATGTAAGTATAAAACCGGGAGAATATATGCAGGCATATATATGTACACGTTCATATTTGAATACACATCAGTTATTTGGAAACACACACAGAGATATATGTAGGTATGCTTGTGCTTATATATATATATATGTGTGTGTGTGTGTGTACATATACATATGTATAAACATATACAAATGTATATACATATATACATATGTATACACATATATACATATACATATGTTACATATGTATATGTATATATGTGTATACATACATAATATATATAATATAATATAAATATTATATACATATAATCATATAAATTTGTATATATTTATACATATGATATGTATAAATATATACAAATATATATATATATATATATATATATACATATATATATACATATACATATGTATATACATATATAAATATAAATATATATATATATGCATAAATGTGCATGCATGTGTGTGTGTACATATATATATATATATATATACATATATATATTCATTCATACATGTTTGGCTAAATAATTTATGTATTATGTCATATTTATTTTGTTTTAATCCTTTCGAATATATGAAATAATTTCTTTAAGTTTTTTTGTATTATTTTGGTGTAACATAGATGTATTTTCAACTAATCTGTTCAAACTGTGAATGTGGACCTGGGCGTTTGTTTAAATGCTGTAAGATTGTACTATCATCCAAATAAATATAAGCCTTATCGTCAGCATCATTGTTGAACATAATTTAAGATTTTTATGTCTATTTATATATATTATATTTTAGTGCGGATATTGAAATCATCTTCTTTCGCCATATTTTTTACATTATTTCGGTGTTTCATATCTGTCTATATTTCAACTAATCTGTTCAAACTATTTACATTATTCGGACTATTGTCCTCATCTTTGTTTAAATTTATGTAAACGTTTGCTTTTCAGTATCTGTCTAAATAAACATGAGGTATTATGTAAACTATTTTCATTATTCGGACTATTGTCCTCATCTTTGTCGCCATATTTATTACAACGTTTCGGCTTTTAGTATATATATATATATATATATATATATATATATATTTACATTATTCGGACTATTGTTCTCATCTTTGTCGCCATATTTATTACAACGTTTCGGCTTTTCAGTATCTGTCTATATTTCTGACATGAGGTATTATGTAAACTATTTACATTATTCGGACTATTGTCCTCATCTTTGTCGCCATATTTATTACAACGTTTCGGCTTTTCAGTATCTGTCTATATTTCTGACATGAGGTATTATGTAAACTATTTACATTATTCGGACTATTGTCCTCATCTTTGTCGCCATATTTATTACAACGTTTCGGCTTTTCAGTATCTGTCTATATTTCTGACATGAGGTATTATAAACTATTTACATTATTCGGACTATTGTCCTCATCTTTGTCGCCATATTTATTACAA